GCCTCTGTACCACCACTGCAAGTGTCACTCACCACAGTGAAAAAGGCAGAAAAACATCTTACAATTCTGATTATGAAAATACTTTGACCCTCACCATTTTCTTAAAAGGATCACAAAAGGGAACTCCAGGGTTCCCCACATCACACTTTGAAAACCACTACTCTAGCCTATCCAAATGCAATCATTTCCAAAATTTCTCTGTAAACACTGAACCCATGCAACTACTCTCATCCAAGATACAGGGAAAAAAACCAACCAACCAACCAACCTCCTAGAATAAGAAGTCTCTGAACAACTGTGTGGTAGCTGGAAACGCTCCTCAGATGAGGGAGGCTCAGGAACTCTGCATATCTGAAAAACGAACGGACTTAGATGGTCCTCGGTTTGTTTTTCCCATTCCCAAGTCTAGGAGAATCTGTGCCAAACTTCAAATTAGAAGAGAAGAAGCAGGTTTGAAAAGCCATCAATGAGTTTGAAATGAGTTTTATCAGGTAATTGGTTTAAGGTTTCTTCAAAATGTGAATTTTATAAAGCTTATATATTTTATAGAAGCTGAAGTCATTCTATTTACCAACAATAAGATCGTAACACTGTATTCAGTTAGAAAAACTATTTTTCTTTAAATGAGTAAATTTGACCTCTTTAGCTTACACAAAAAGGAAAGAATTACTAATACTACCTCATGTACAGAATCTGGTATAATTCAAAGTGATTCTGATTTGACAAAAATCACAAAATTTTAAAGAAGAAACCAAAACATGCATTTTGCCCACCAATGTGTTCCCAAAACCTAGCTCAGCCCTTGTATAAAATCGGATGTCGAGTAGACATTTCTGAATGCTGGGGATTGAAGTGGCTGGAAAGAGAAGAACCCTGGCTGCCAAACCCCCAGCACAGCACTTAGTGCTCCTTCTGCCATGTGGACTCTCTTTCATCATTCTCTAAAATAACACCTCGGGAATCCCAGGGAACTATTTCAGTTTACCCTGAGAAGATATAATATTACCAGTTATACTTAAATTACACTAGAAAGCCTGCTATGAACTAGGTGTTTTATAGGTTCTCATTTAGATCACATTTTATAATTACTGTTTTTAATATTTGCTTTCTGAATTAAGCAGGAATTTCCATCCCTATGTGGAAAAGTGGCAACAAGATACTAATCTAACTCAATCATCACGCATTGTACTATCCTCACACACAAAAAATATACTAAATACTTCATTTTCTGTGATGATTCAGAATGGTTCTCCATTTCTTAAAGTTTCTTGGGTTTATCTTTGAGACCCTCACTGCCTTTTAAGAACTAAGGAGTCTATGTAGTACCATGGATAATAATTTGTCACCATAGTTTTTTCTTTTTTAAAATTTTTCCTGTCACTTTGAAGGAGAGAATCCTAGAAGCAGCAAGAGATACGGGGACAGTCACCTACAAAGGAGTTCCCATCAGACTGTCAGCTGATTTCTCAAAAGAGACCTTACAGGCAAGAAGGGGCTGGAAAGAAGTATTCCAAGTCATGAAATGCAAGAACCTACAGCCAAGATGGCTTTATCCAGCAAAGCTTTCATTTAGAATGGAAGGGCAGATAAAACACTTCTCAAATAAGGTCAAGTTCAAGAAGTTCATCATCACCAAGAACTTATTATATGAAATGTTAAAGGGACTTACCTAAGAAAACGAAGATAAAAAAGATGAACAGTGAAAGGACAGCAAACTCACAATTAACAACCACACCTAAAACAAAAGCAAACTAAGAGGACAGCTAGATCAGGAGCAGAACCATAGAAATGAAGATCACATGAAGGGTTAGCAACAGGGAGTGGGAGGAGGAAAAGGGGGAGAAGCTATAGAAAATAAGTAGCATAGACAGTAGGTAGAAAATAGGGGGGAAGGCAAGAACAGTAGGGGAAATATAGAATCTAAAGAACTTGAGACACGTGGTCATAAACTTAAGGGGGGAATGGTGGGAGAGGGGTGGCTGGGTGAAGGGGAATGAAGGGGGGGAATAGAACTAATGGCATAATCAATAAAATATATTTTTAAAAAATAAATAAATAATTTTTTCCTGTCATTTGAACATTTATCATTTTTTTTGTTCTCAAAAGCAAAATGTAGAAAATCTGAGGTACTTGAATTCTGTAGTTATTTAGATTCTGGATTAAAAAAATAATAAAATTTAAATTAATTAAGGCCAGCATGTACCAAACTAAAGTTCAACTGAAGAAAATATTTAAATTTAAAGAATATAATTTATCAATTTAGGAATCAAAACATCAAATCACATTTTATTTTAAAATACTGCCACGAATATAACCTCATTTCATTCCATGCAGTTATTCTGCAGAAAAACATGACCTACCGAGCATATAGCCAAAGGAAAGGATGTTCTGTTGCAATATAAAGGATTTGAACCAGATATTCTTTAAAGAAAATAAAAATGTCAGTGGAAACTTTATAGGGAGACCATAAACTCCCTCTTCTCTGGAGGTTTAGAAAGAAAAGATTTTTCAAATGTCTGGGTTGGCTTAGACTTGGCCTCCCATTTGACACTGAGACAGAATCAGTTCAAGGGTCAGCATGACCCAAGGAATTCAAGTCCCTCCTGCCGCAAACAAGGCATTAGCAAGCTGCATCCTTCTGTTCTGCAGCCATCCAGCTTTGGTAATCCCCAACCTTATCCTTGAAATTGCTTAAACTGCTAATATAACATGGCCGTTGTGGAGACATATTTCTTCCAGCTACTGAAACTTTTGCTTCTCAATAGTGCTCTGCAGGCCTTTAATCCTGTTTTCTAACATTACCAGAGAGGGCCATATTTTGTAGTGTAATCAATATCTGCCCTAGTAACAAAGCCCTGCTCCATTGTTCTATCCAAACATGGATTCCACTCTGATTTTCAGAAACAGCGGTAGGAAAATAATAGACAGAGAAATTAGAGCTCTTAGGTTTAATTTACGGCCAAAATCAAAAGAGAAGAGATAATTCAGAGAGAGGAAGGAAGAAGCTGAGAGGGTTGTAGTGTAGAACACTTACTTTCAGGAACAGAGTGTCCCTTAGACTTCTGGTGAGTTGCCCAGAGCCTCTTCAGTTTCAATCCAAATGACAATGCTTCTCTGAGTCCTCCTCAAGTAATCCACTAAAAATTGGATCTACAAGAGCTCAGATGTACTGGCAAAAAATGTCAGGGGCCCCCATGTGGGCCTCAAGCCTCTTTTAAACTAGGCCCACTTCTCTGTCCTGGGCCAACTCCCCTGTGCACTATATTCCTTCTTCTTCCAGGTGCCAGGTAGTCGGCCTGTTTCTTCTCTTCTGAGCTGCCACCACCTACTCTATTTCTCAGGGTTCCTCTAACCCCAAGACTGGCTGTGGAGTAGGCCACCAGCTTCCCCCCTTCCTTGCTGTCCCTGCAAATAAACATATAGGCTCTTCTAGTTTCAGTATTTTTCTAAAGGCTACAAGAAAATAGAGGGAACAACAAAAAGCAACAATATCGTACCAGAGATTAAGATTATAATAACTGTCTCCACTTTAAAGTCCCTGTCTCCAAAACCCAAATTTTCTGGAGATTGCTTATCGAGCATTTTAAAAAGTACAAGGTACTAATACAGATATATAATCTAAACCAAATCCGACCTTATACAGACATAAAAAATATATTCTGCTTTTCAAAAATGCTTCAATCACGGGTCCAAAAATAGTTACTACATTCCTTTTAGCAAATAGGTACTTTTTTATCAGACTGGTTCTGTTACATTCCCTTGAATTCCAAAGATGTCTGAAAGTTTGCTTTTTAAAAAATATCATGAAAAATGCTCATATTTCACCCAATATAAATAGGAATTAACATGCAAAAAGCCTATTATGATTTATAATTAGACATAAGTCAAAAGCAGCCAGTTCACTAAGCAAATCTTAAGATTTTAAATTATTGTCAACCATACCTGGATCTACATTTTAAAACTTTATAAAATGCTCTAAATGGTGCTTAAAAAAATGGGTATCTCATTTTTAGAAATCTAACTTTACTGAATATAAATCTAATGTCAATATTGTGTCAGTGTTTTTTAAGATGGTATATCCTATCAGTATCCTTATTCTCTTGTGATAATTCAGTTTGTAATAGACTCTGTAGTATCAAAATACATGTTACCTGAATATCAGGCTATAAATAACAGGATCATAATGAATTAATTTAAGGCCTACCCTCCTACAAAGGCAAAGAAACTCTGTAACTAAGTGCTGGCATATCAAGAATATCACTGACTTTGAATTTCCTGGAAGATTTTCTTTATCCACTTAATTAACTTAAGTGGTTCTTAAAAGACTTATTGTAAGCTTACAGTAAAAGAAAGACTGAAAATAGGCAGAGATCATGTAATCTTACTTGCATAGTTTAATAATAGATTACCATTTGATCAATCTAAAGATATTCAGATACTTTCAGCAAAAATATGTCCGTGCCCGGGCTCACCTCCAACTATCTATTTATAAAATATTAGCGAATTGGAATACAAACACTAAACAAAACCTTGATCTGACCCTTCCAGACATCTATATTAAAAAAGGAAGTTAAATCTATTGTGTATTATATAATCAGATACTTTATGAAATTAAATTACATCTTTTGCTCCTAAAAAGGTCTCAAGGGTTTCTTTCGTTCCTACACACAAACAACAATGCAGCCAACATTATTATACCCGGAATGGGAGGGGGAACATTACACCCAGCGATACGAATTAAATCGCAGTAGCTAATGCCTCCCTTAAATAATTTATTCTCTCCTGGCAGCAAAAAAACGTTACACTCTTCAATTACCCTTCACCGCACACCATCGCCTGCATCGCGATCAATCTGACCCAATTCCTATCACGGCCACCACCTCAGTCAGGCCTCCTCCCCGCCAGGTCTGCGAGTGTCAGGGGAAAGGGCGGCAGCCGCAAGGGCCTCCTCTGGCCGCAACCCGGTGGCCGGCGGTGCCCCGGGCAGGCTCTGGACTCACCGGGTGGAGGTGCCCTTCCGCACATCGCACATCATGCACTTGAAGGCCTCGGCACTATTCCGGAAGGTGCAGACGCTACAGTCCCAGTAACCCTCATCTGAGGACGGCTTCGGCTGTCGCTTCGGCCTGCAAGACACAACCCGGACACGACGTTGCGCAGGGTCACCAGCAGGCCTTGCCCAGCTCCCAGGCCCGGCCACCACCCCCCGCCCCGCCCCCTGTCCCAATTCCACGACCCCCACCCCGCAGGCCCCCAGCACGCCGCGCTCCGGCTCGGAGGGGGAGGGGAGTCAGGAAGGAGGAGGGCACGAGCGCGGCAGCAGTCTTAGCGTAAGCTGCTGCCGCTGCTGCCGCCACCGCCTCGGCTGACACCCCTGGCTACCGCTCGGCCGCCATCGCAGCTCTATTGTAGGGCAGCCGGCGCCGGCCCCTCACACAGAGCAGCGGTGCCGCCCTCGTTCTCTTCCCGCTGCCTGTGCAGCGAGCGAAGCGGCAGCTCGAAGTCCAGCGCAGGGCCCTGCCACCCGCACAGTCCGGGGCCCGCGGGCCAGGCGCTGTTACCTGGTGGGGCTCTTCTTGTCTCCCATGGCTTGGCTACAGATGCACGCGGAGAATCGCCGCTGCTGTTTGTCAATAAGAAGGATAATAAGCCGGGCGGAAACGGGCGGGGGAGGAGGGAGAGAGGGGGCGGGGAAGGCCGCACCGCTGAGCTCGGAGCCGCCGCCGGATCCCACGCAGCCTCCAGCTGTCGGGGAAACTCCTGCCTGGACGCACGTGATCCACGCCCGCCAATCAGCAGCCGCGCCGGAGACTTCAAACGCGGCCAGCGCGGCCCTGCACCCGCAGCGAGTTCGCTGGCAGGCGGGAGGCGTGGGGGTGACGCTGCATCCTCAGGAGCTGCTGTCGTTTCTCCGTCTGCTCTCCCTTGCATACCCTCAGCATCCTGGGCGGGCGGGGAGTGCCCTGCGCTTCGGAGCCCCTCTGTCCCGGGGAATGGCAGGGGATGCCCTGCCCTCCAACAGGAAGCCAGGTCCTAGGTGGGGCAGGCGTTTAGAGGTCAGCCCAGCTTGAGACTAGAGTCCCCTGGTGAGGTCTCTAGGTAGAAGCGCTTTTCTGTCCTCAGCCGCCCTTGGCTACTCAGACCCAGACCGAAGGATACCTGGGGGAAGATGGGAATCAACACTGAGGGCCATTACCTAAGGGCTTTATAATACTGTCTGGTTTTACGCACGCAAATGCTTTACCAAGTATGGATTGTCGCCCTTAATTTAGAGGAAATTAAACCGAAGCTCAAAAGAGGTTAGCTGACATCGTCCGTATTACATAATTAGAAGATAACAGCCAAGAATCTAACCCCGGCTTTAATTCCAAATGTGTTGCTTTGGTTTCCCAGGCCTCTAGAGTAGCTGCTTAAAAATTTTTTTAAGTACTCATAAGCCTTCTTTTAAAATAACAGGTTTACATGCACATAAACGCAATCTGTTGGTTAAAACAGAACACCATCCTCCCAGGTCTCATTAATTACCTCAACGTACCGAATTCCCTCATCTTTAACACACTAGAAGCTAGCAACAACTGGTCTCTGAAGCACCAGCCCCAACTCCCCAATCTATCCAATAACACACAACCAGATTAGTAATACAGTGCTGGTTAACATCTGTTGTCGCACTGATTAAGAATTCTCCTAAAGCTCTTCGACTCCTTAGCCTGGCATTAAAAACTTCCACACCTTCTCTCTAACTCCCCACCCCATTCCCTATCAGAAAAACTGCCTCCTGGCAAAAACTGTAGATGATATTCATTCATTACTCTCCCAAAACCTTCCTTCAAAAAAAATGGCTTACTTCTGCATTAAATATTTCCCTCTCCTCTTTGATGGTACTGTTTCCATCCATCTTTCTAGATTCACAGCAAGTCTGAATTACTGCAAAATAAAATCACAGAAGTCCTGGGTTCTCGGCCTACCTTCCCCATGTTTTCGCTGATAGACCTCAGAAAGTGTGCGCTTAATTTCAGGAATTGTTAGCTTCTTCATCTGGAAAATGGCATCTATATATATGAGGTTGTGTGGTTAATAATAAAATAACTAACATTTTTTAGCACTACATGCCAAGAACTTTGTAAATGTCTACACAAATGCTTATTCTAAAGAACCCAAAGTACTATGCAAATGTTCTGGTCAATTAGCCTATCCCTTCATTTGAAAGACAATGAACTTAGAGCCCTGGTTTAGTGGTCTTTCTTTAATGTACAGGCCAGGATTAGAGCTCAGACTTTCACCAAACCTGCTTTCTGATTAACCATATCACCCCAATTTATAGGGGTCTCTGAACTCATGGCACCATCTTTACTTCTTGGAAGTGTCACTTGTTGAGGCTCAGATTTGGATTCAGAAGCACAGAAACCATGAGGAATGCATACAAAAGAATTTCATAAAGAGGAACAAGACTGTGAAAAAGGGACTTAGTGTGATACCATCGTTTCTTCTGCATTCAGTTTCTGCACCTTTCTCAGAGCTTCCAACAGCAAAATATTGGGACAGAGTACTGGAGGTTCACAACCTCTGTGGTCCATGGGTGCCACTACGAGGAGGGTCCCAGGAAGAATTTGCCATTTCGGTTGAAAACAAGTGGTGGTTACTAGCTATGACGACTCTCTACTTTGGATATGGATTTGCCACACCTTTCTTTATAGTAAGACACCAACTGCTTAATAAATATGGATGTTTCAGTTAATCCATGAAGCAGATATGAAGAAGAATGTTTTCCTCTTTGAAAAATGGATCAAACTGTTGAGCACAGCATACTAGATATGTTTGTAAATACACTTATGGAATGGAAAAAAAGAAAGCATAAAAGAGAAGATCTGAGGCCTAGTCTTCAATCTTTCAGTAATGCAATGGGTAAACTTAGATTAGTCACTTCTTTTTTTCCCATCTGTAAATTAAATGAGTTAAAACTATTATCTCAACTAAGGTCCCTTTCAGACCTAAGACACTGTGATGTTTTTAAATTCCTCAACTGGTTGAATGTTCAAGGAGACTGAACAGAAATATCATCTACTTGCAAAAGTGATGGCAACAATTGTAAAAGCAATTCTATTTCAAAAGCTTGATTTTGGGAGTAGAGTTAGTGTAGTTGGTTGGTGTTTTGTTTTTGCAAAATGGAGATACTTTACTAAACTTTACTAATTTTGTTGATTATCAGTTTTATAGGTTACCACCACTGTATTAGTTTCTAGGGTGCCAAAACAAAATACCACAGAGTGGCCTAACAACAAAAATTTCTCTTACAATTCTACAGGTTAGATGTCCAGATATCAAGGTTATCCACATGCCTGTTTTTTTTCCAGGGTCTTTCTCCTTGGCTTGTACATGGCTGCCTTCTCTCTGTGCCTTTACGGCGTCTTCCCCCTCCATGTCCATGTATGTGACCCAATATCTTCTTTTAAGAACACCAGTCATGTTTGTTGAATTAGAGTTTACCCTAAAGACCTCATTTTGCTTTAATTACTTCTTTGAAGACTCTATCTGCAAATACAGTCACATTCCAAGGTACTGGGGGTTAAGACTTCAACGTGAATTTATGAGGGGGGCATAAATCAGTCCACAACAGCAGTGTAAAAATTTCAGCAAAGATTTTTTAAGTTAATATATCCAGAGCATTCTTGTAGCATTACTAGCACAGGTTCACAATCCTTATCTGAAACCCTCAAGCCTGGATATGTTTTATGAGTAAGATGTTTTGAGATTTTCAAAAGGAAATATGGTAAAAATACTATATAATTACCCACGCCTCTGAGTGATTTCTGTAGTACCCCATAATCAAATGCATTAGTGTTTATGCAAAATATCAAATATTCACACTATGTTGAAAAATAAAGTCTACAAACCACCTTCATCAGTTCCGCTCAGGTTTTACTGCTAAATGATTACAGGTCAGGTAAAATATGAAGATGCTTTCAATCGTTAGTGCTTTTTAGATTACAGGTTTGTGGAAAAAGCATGTTCATCTGAAAGAATTCCAGGGCAAATTAAGAATGAAATTGCTAAGATTAAAAATATCCATATTCTCTGACCGTGCCATTCTCCTTTGGGGGTGTCCTTATCCTAAGGACACCTGAAGTGCATAAAAAGTTTTGCACAGAGACAATCATTGCAGTTATTTTAACAAACATTGAAAATAATTTGAATGCCCATCAGGAGACAAATAATTAAATAAATAATGATCTAACCAAAAAGCTAAATTTTAAGCAGGCACTAAAAACAATGCTGAGAATCTAAAGAGACATTTTTCCAAAGAAGACATACAGATGGCCAACAAACACATGAAAAGATGCTCAACCTCACTGTTCACATGGGAAATACATATTAAAACCACAATGAGATATCGCATCGCACCTGTTAGAATGGTTATCGAAAAGACAAGAAATAACAGATGTTGGCTTGGATGTGAAGGAAAAGGAACCCTTGTGCACTGTTGCTGGGAATGTAAATTGGTGCAGCCACTATGAAAAATAGTATGGAGTTTCCACCAAAAATTAAAAATAGACCTACCATATGATCCTATAGCTCCATTTTGGGTGTTTATTCAAAGAAAACAAAACACTAACTCAAAAGAACAAGCACCCCCCGTATTCATTGCAGCATTATTTACAGTCACCAAGATATGGAAACAAATTAAATGTCTATTGAAGAATGAATGGATAAAGAAATTGTGGAATATATTCACATATACAATGAAATATTATTCAGCCAGAAAAAGAATAAAGTTCATCATTTGCAACAGCATGGGTAGACCTCGAGGGCATTATAGTAAATGAAGTAAGTCAGACAAAGAAAGACAAATATCATATAATCTTGCTTATACCTGGAACCTAAAACAAAAACAAAACGAGCCTATAGATACAAAAAATAAATTTGTGGTTGCCAGAAGCAAGGAATGGCAGGAGTAGCAAATGGATGAAGAAGTCAAAAAGTGCAAACTTCCAGTTATGAAATAAATGTCATGGGATGCAATGTACAGCATGGTGACAATAGTTAATAATGATGTATTGCCTCTTTGAAAATTGCTAAGAGAGCAGATCCAGAACTTCTATAACTATACAGGGTAATGGATGTTAACTACACATATTGTGGTGATAATTTTGCAAGTACACAAGTATCGAATCATTATATTAAACAACTAAAACTAATATAGCATGATGTCAATTGTACCTCAATAAAAAATTTAATTAAATGGCACTGACTCAAAGATAAATAAATGTAGGGTAAGCATTATTGGTTGTTCGGTGTATACTCTCTATATTCTCTTTTGTTCTCTTGCCCAATTTTAAAAAGAAAACACCAGAAAACTGATAACAATGAAGAATTTGTAAGAAGTGGCAATGCTTATGTTGTAATGTTAAGTGATAAATGCAGAATATAAAATTGAATATACAATAAAGACTAAATTGTATAAAAAGCATAGAAAAAAAAGATGAGAAAAAACACACCCAAATATCAGTGGTGGCTTACCAGTCTCAATTTCATTTCAGCACATTACAACCTTTTTATTACACTGTCTGCTCCTGACCTTTTCTTCCCTAGACTCTCCCTATATCCTACCACTTTCTGATAGTTCTGTATTTCATCCCATGGTGTGGCCTCGACTAAATGACCCATCCATCTCTATTCCTTCTGCATTTCCCCTTTACTCCAAACCACTCCAGTGCTAGCTAGCTTCAGGATAGCCTCCCATTTATACACTTGGATCTCATCCACGTTCC